AAATTTGTTAGTTATCAAATGGGTCAGTTCATAACATATTATGGTGATAGTTAGATAATTACAAACTTATCGGATGTAGATGCCAATAATTGTCCTCTTCTAGGCTAGAATCGCACTAGTGCTCTACCTCCCTGCTACACCCATATATAGAATTCATCGTCAGATAGATATATAAAAAGAAAATCGACCAGGTTAAACTCCTTACCAAATTTAGAAACTTCAGTACATTAGAATAGGTTTTTATTACTATATTCAATTTCGTTGTTACAATCATAGAAGCAAAAAAATATTGGAAGACTCAAGGACTACAAGTGAAGAGCCTCTTTCACCTGGTGATGAAGTGAAATCCCTAATTCTAAGAATGATACAAAGTATTGTCTATTTGATAACTATGAGAGAAGTTGTAGGTGATCGAAATTAATTAGTCCAAAGAACTATAACTATCATCGATTCTAGAATATGTTATTTTCATGATTCTTCTTCTTTTTTAGTTTAGGAGGAGGTATTGCAGGAGGAGTCGCAGGTGACGGAAGAGAGTATGAAAGAGGATTTAATTACAATAATGTCTTATGACTGTAAGAGGTCACCAACATTGTGAGGAATGAGGTTGATTGATTTTGTGGAGGTCTTTTGTAAAATTCCTATCTAATGGATGGAGACGTTGATTGCTAGTGATGAAGGGCTAGTAGGGTTTCCTCAATTTTGAGTGTGCTAGAACAAGGCGGCAAACAAGAGAGGAAAGCGACCATAAACAAATAAGGGAGATAAAACGACTTATCCATAAATCTCCCAAGGCAGGGGTTTTTAATTTATAGGGATTTCTTCCCCTCCCCACTAGTTACTAACTAAGGATCAGACACATGTTTTCCTAAAACTTTGAAAAATGATAACTTGATTTAGGACGCGCAAAAATGATTGCCCAAAATCCTTTAAATTTTATACGGGATGACATTTTCTTAATTACAGCCAGTTTTGCATATCATAAATGTGTGTGTGTCATAGCTTATGTGTCATTAAAGGCCTGTTTTCCAGTACATTATTCTTATTAAATGATCAACGGACTGTTCGATATTGTGGTTTCAATGTAATAGGTCAAAGGAATTTGTTGTTCAAGTATGCAAGATTTATAGTTCTGTTTTATTCTTTCATAAGGGAAGTAAAGTAGATTATCATTGAAGTGCTCATGGTTAAGGATTTTTCTCGTTATGTTCCTTGAGGATTTGTTGAATTCATTCTTGGGTTTAGAAAAGTTCAAGATATGGCATGATCATGGGTGTAGAGTGAGTTGAAATCAGTTTTACGTCTTCAGGATTGAATAGGTTGTCCTATCAGCAGACAGCTGATGGGAAAGTAATTCACTATAGCTAGTAATCCATTTCAGGGACACCAAGGATTATGACAAGAAGCATTTCGGCCGCTCGGTTTGTGTATCAGGTTGGTCAATATGGTGTTTACTGTAGACCACATTATGAATTTAATCTCTCCACAATGTGTGGTAGTAGTATACTTACTGGAAAGGGGTCTATGGTTCCCAAAGTGGCCGGCGTAACCCCTCAAAATTTGCAACACAATATATTTTTGTTAGAAAGTTTCCCGGCATAATGTAATTTTTTCTAGCGTGTTACCCCAAAAATCATGTGTGACACCCCTAAAATTTTTTCATATATCAGCCAATGCCTACCGGCCTAAGAAAATATTACTGTTTGAAGTGTAATGATAAATATAGGACTATAGGGAGTGGGTGCACCAACCCACTCACCAAGCTCTTAGCATGCCTTGAACACCGCCCCTAGTGTGCGCTAAGGAGAAGAGTCAAGGTCCACTCGCCGACAAATTAGGGAGGTGAGTGAGGAGAGAGAGAGAGAGATAGAGAGAGAGAGAGTATGTGTATGTGAGAGAGATTAAGTGAGAGAGAGAGAGAGAAAGAAAGAAAGAAAGAAAGAGCAAGGGAGAGTGTGTATGTATAGGTATAGGTTGTTAGTGATTCGATGTTTTGTTTTTATTTTTAATTTTTTTTCTTCTAAATGCATGTTAACACACTAGTATTCTCTAACACCATGTTATGCTTACATGGCATGCAAAAAATGACATGACACCATAACATACCACCACTCCTTTAGTCTAAAGACTTATAAAGGTTAAAGATGGCAACGAGGTCGGGAAATACTGAGGACCCAATCCCCATCTTCATCTCTCGAATCATTATTATAATCCTCATCCTCTTCCTCATTGAGGAATATAAATGAATCTGCATCTCCACCGCAACGGGGACCAGGGATCCCCAACAAGAAATCAACGGTTTCTTTCTCTTTTAATATAAAAAAAATTTCATAAACAAAAACTTAAATTTTAATTTACCAACATAAATTTAAATATTTTAAAAAATATAAAAATATTCATAACTAGCACAAATGCTATAAAAAAAATTTCTAACAAATTTAAATCTGAACATGAAAAAGCAAGCCAAAAAAAATAATATTAAAGTGATATTCAAGGTAAAAATAGATTAACCAAGGAGAAAAAGAAGTATACACGTGATTAAATTAGAAAACCGAAGAGGAAAAAATATAATTTCAACCAAATAATTAGTAATAAGGTGGGTTACTTGAATCGAGTTTAGGCAATGTAAATTTTACTTTAAGTATATATTTTGTATTATTTTTCTTTATTAACATATATTGGGGTAGGTCTAGGGACCAGGGGTATCCTCATCCATCTCATTATCTTTGTTTTTTTCATTTAGGGATTCCCCACGCCCATCCCCGGTCAACTTGGGGATTACCTGGTCAAATCGGATGTGGGTATCAGGTTTCCATCAGGTATGAGGTTTTTTACCATTAAAGTTATTCGTTTTCAAGGGGTTTAGGTTCAAGTCACCATTCACATAAATGTTTAGTTTAGGTTAGATTAGAGTTGCATTATATATATATATATATATATATATATATATATATATATATATATATATATATATATATATATATATATATGTATGTATATATATATATGGTTAGGTTATATTGTTGTTGCTAAGTATTGTGTGCTTGTATTATGGATTCTAGGCTAATCATTTATGATAAATTAAGAAAGTAGTTTTCTTTTAATATTAAATAGAAAAAAAAATTAATAGGATTTCATTAAATGAGTGGGCATGAAAGGGTACTATGGTCCTTTGCCTCATTAGTTTAATAGGAAACCGTCGATAATTATGGAATTGATCCACCGATAATCCCAAATATCTCGAATACTATCAAAATCGAAAACTCATTGCTTTCGGAGATTGACACATATTCTGGTTTTCTATATTCAATATTTAGAATCGGAAGATTCGTGGAAGGTTTTTGAGATAAATATCAATATTAAACCCTAGAAGACGCAATCGGCCTTTGGGGGTTCTATGAACTTTATTCTGGAAGAATGAGGAGTACACGTTCGACTTCATTCAAGTAGAAGTTCAAGTACACAGTAGAGACGACATTGAATCTTGAAGATGATGGTGATGATTTCGTTGCGGAACCTCAAGGTAAGAATTTTTTGTTTTATCTGATATTTATTGATTTCGAAGATGTATTATAGTGTAAGAAGTATATTTAGAATAATTTATGCGTGTATCATTTGTGTTTTGCAAAAAGAATGTGTGATTGTTGTGTAATTTCTGGTAGGATGAAATAGTTTTATCTGTTGTTCTGCTAGACTGGTCGGTTTTTATAAACATGTAGATGTTTGTTATTCTCTTAGAATAAATCATGTTCTTGTATGAGATACAATTATAAACAAAATATCTGTAAATAAGGAGGTAAGTATCAGGGTATAATGATTTAAGATTCTCTTGGAATCGAAGTTTGTATATGAGTAAAGACTTAAACTAAAACATTCAAAATTCTTTCAGATGGGATATACTTTACATGTGTTGAATTCTATTAGAATGGAACGATTTTTATGAGTGTATGTATACCCATGGATAGTGGATTATATGTCTTGAGTTGAAATGTATGAGATTCTGGTAGAATTCAAATTTGTGAAGTTCTTTTTTATACTATTATCATTGAACCAATTTGCATAGTATGTTTACTCTTTGTTATTAAGTTAGAATCATAGGGTAACTTGGAAAAATTACAATTTATTTGTAGATTGATAGACTTCATATGTAATATATTCTAATAGAATACAAATATGTGTATGAGTATAAGTATTTCAATGTTCAGTGGACTATATATGTTGAGTTTCAATGTGTAAGATTCGGATAGAATTTAAATTTGTGAATTTGTTTTTTATATTGCTATCATTGAACCAATGTGTGTAGTATGTTTAATCTTTGTTATTAAGTTTTTACTAAGATATAATTATGGGGTAAATTGAAAATTTTACAATTTTTGTAGGTTGATAGAATTTATATGTAATATATTCTAATAGAATACGAATATATGTTTGAATATATGTATTTCAATGTGCAGTGGATTATGTATCGAAATGACATGTATGATGATATGGTAGTTTCTTTTATACTCCATTAGAATTGTATTTATGTGTGTTATTGATTATTCTGTTTTTTTATCCTGTTGTAATGGTAATTTTGTGTATATGTTACATTTGTGTTGTAAAAGTAAATATTTATCTTGTTGGAATAATAAAAATATCTTAAATTTTTAAACATCAATTAATGTAATGTGTTTTACTCAAGTGTTTAATATATTATAATATACATTCTAATATTTATTATGTGTTATAGCAGAACAAGTACAAGAAGAATAAAACGTGAAACGAGAAACAAGGTCAAATAAAAAATTTGATAAATTAGTTCCAGAAAAGAAAAGTCCTAAACCTTTAAACGCACTACTTTTTGAAAGAGAGATAAGGTCAAAGAGAAAATACGAGAGAGTTCTAATGTAAAAAAATTAAAGAAAAAGGGAAATGATGAATCTGTCAAAGAGGAACTTGAAGATAATGTTAGAAAAACAAGTAAGGAATATCCACCTGGTTTAAGAAACCTTCCAACCAGAATGAAATGTGATAACATCACTGCAGCTGTTAGGGGCATGTCACCAGAACAAAAACAAGCAATCTTAAGAACGGGTTTTGGGTCAATTTTGCAAGTGAATATAACAAGTTATCTGAGGCACCTAAGCTACTATCTTTTAGATGTGTATGATTCTGATAGTAGAAGACTTGTCCAACAATACTCTGTTATTGAGATCACAGAACAAACAATCCATGATATGATGGGGTTGCCAATTAGCGGAGAAGACATCAATGAGTTGCCATTGTGTGATAAGGGGAATCAAATTTTGGAAGAATGGAGGGGACAATATCCTTGTGATAAGTTCAACGGTGAGGAGTATTTAAGAAGAATTCAGTCTACATCAAAAGATAATTTGATTTTTAGCCTGATTTTTTTGAATCTTTTCGTAAACAACTTGATAGATTCAATGTTGATGGGAACAAATAAAATAAAAGTGATAACGAAGTTGTTGTTGGTAAAAGTATTTTCAAAGTTAAATTGGTGCAAATATATGCTCGATTTTTTGGGATTAATGAAAAAACTATGGAAAAGGGATGACAAATCAAGCTACTACACTGGTCCTATTATACTCCTTCTAGTAAGTGTGAAATGGTGTTATATGATAGTATAGATTTGGTAGTAATGTATTATTGATGTATTGATTAATTTAATGGTTTTTTTTGTAGTTGGTGTATGTGTATAACATGAAGTATTCTATAAAGTTAGATAAAATGTTTTCTTTTATTGGGCATATTACCGGTGCTAATTTATTAAAGATTCAATGATAGGAAATCAGTTTGGGAGGGTTCAGGAGGAAATTTCGGGATGAGCACGAGGATGTCGATATCAATGATACAACATGAGGCGAAGAGCAATAGGTGGTCACTTTTATGAGGGATTTTGGAGATGAGGAGGTAATAGTAGATTTTTTTTGCATACTTAGTTAATTTGTAATTAATTTAATTAGTAGTTGAATTTATATTCTTGTAGAATATAAAGTGAAACTTCTCATACTAAAATTGTTGAAATATTCTTGTAATGTAAATAATAATTAGTTATATGTATTGCAGGTGTACGTTGCTGTTTTAGAGCATAATTATGGGTTAATTCTAAACGAAAAAAGTACTATGGAGGTTGCATTGAAGGATGGTTTGGAAAAGTTCCCTAATAGTGTGGTGTTGAACGAGTGGATGGAAAATATGAATGAGCTTTTTAGGGAAGTGCATGAAGGGGAAAACAATAAAAAAGTTGTCACACCCCAAAACCAATAACGGCGGAATACGTTTCGGGGTGGATGACGTAGTGTACAGTATCATCACAATTGTATAATAGTAAAAGCAAGAAACATACAACCATTTCATTTACATAGTAAGTGTATTTACATGTGTGTTTTGTAATGTTTGACAAACACCAAAAGTAAACAAAAATAAGAGATGGGTCTTGCATGCTCCATCTTCTCCCAAAAATACTGCAGTTGTACCTGTCTATCTTTGACCTGAAGATACAAGTTATTTGAAAGGAATATCAGCATAAAGCTGGTGAGTTCATAAGAGTTTTTAGTGTGAGTTCTTTTATAAAAACATTAGAATCATTAGTATGAAAACTGAAGTTTGTAATCATAAGTAGTGGTAAAACCTAGAAAATCCTATATTTTCCAGAAGTGTATAGTAAATGAAAATCTTTAAGAAATATATTGTTTGTATCTTTGTAAACCATTTATCGTAGAAGTGTAATACTGACTCACCATTAAGTAAGACAATATAGTGAGTTATTCCTGGAGTACATAATAGTGGTGCAGCATCCTTTAGTATTAGATACTTATTTACTTCGGGATATTACTTCATCTTTCTTTAGTATTTTAATGCGGTTAGTGTCTTTCTTGTATGTTACAAATAGTGTGAGTAATAGCGGATCCTCATGACCTTCCCTGTCATGCATAGTGTAGTAGAGTAAAGGCATCCCTGGACCTGAGCGGCTCGGACTGAAGTTATCAGTCGGGATGTAATAGCGTCTTCCCCATATAGATCTATACATATAGTGTCGTCTTCCTATCGGAAAACTTCGGGCGTAGTGTGTAGCGTATAGAGTATCTCATAGTGGATTAATGAATTTTCTCTTGATTAGTACATTCTCTTGTATTATAGTGTAGTAGTCTTTTGTATAACTTGTATTGTATTCTCTTATTAGTGTATTGCTTCATAATAGAGAGAATTATAGTAGTGTAGATTAGTGGTTAAAACAAGGGATAGAGTCCTTAACTATACCTATTATAGTTAAATTAGTGTGTGTAGTTCTAGTCAGGTTAGTGATTTAGGCATCTAATGAAATAAGTACTCGTAATCCGTACTAATATATGAGATATATAACTAAGAAATCAATGACAGTCGGATGGATAACCACTACCCTAAGCCCACAATCAAACAAGAAACAGGAAATAAGGCGAGTTATCGGTCCTAAGTCCTTCAAGTCTTACTTATATAAATATATTAGAGTGGTTACATTTTTATAAGGAGTTTTATTAAACAAAAGTGTTGTACAAAGAAACATTTAAAGCTTGTTTGTTTATCCAAGATAGTTTTGAAAACAATTGATTTATTTATAAAGCATAGTGATAAATCACATGTGATTTGAACTATACGTTGTGAATCACATGTGATTAATTCTGTAATATGAAAAATTGTCTTGTATAACTTTTCATAAACATGTATATTCAACTTGTATCTCCCCCCTAAAACATATAAAACATTTGAAAGGTTCATTAAAGGGGTATGAACTCACCTGAAATAGCGTAAATTGGGTAAATCGGGTAAAAGTGTCGGATGAGCGTTTTGTTCCAAATAATGACTTGTACACCTTTAGGACCCTAATGTCATATGAAAATATGTGTTTTACAATAAATTAATCATTTTATGCTTTCCGTTTAAGTATTGAGGCATTCTAGCATCAATTCGGGGTTTTAGGGCCTAGAAGGGGTTCCCGGGAGTGGTTTAAGGCTAAAGAGGACTTACGGAAGGATCCATGAGCTCACTCCCTTGGAGTTTATGGCCTAAAGGCCACTCCTTGGGAGTTTACAGCCGTAAGCCCCCTAGGCTTGGCCGTAAGCTCATGTGGTCTTCCAAATTGCTTGTTTAAGGCCTTATTTCACTTCCTTACTTTAATGGCATGTGTCTTGGACCAATATGGAGGGATTAAACTCTTGTTTTGTGACATTTTGGGGAGTTTACGGCCAAGACTTGTTCTTGGGCCGTAAACTCTATTAAATCCTTCAAGATGGATGTTTAAATGGTACAACATGTTCTCATTCACCTTAGATAAATCCTAGAAGGCCTTTCAATGAGTTTTGGGACAATTTAGCATGAAATTTGGGGAGTTTACAGCCCAAGAATATCCTTGGCCGTAAACTCTTCATTTGGCCTCAAAATGGGAAGTTTAATGGTACAACACCCCTCCAAAGGCCTTAGCTAAATTCCTTACATGCATTTGAGGGGTTTTGGGACTTGTTTGACACAAAAACATGGGTGTTTACGGCCCAAGCTTAGCCTTGGCCGTAAACTCCTCTTTTTGCCATCAAATGATGTTGGTTGATGCATTTAAGCCTTCCTTGTTGTCAAATCTAATTTACCAAACACCGTAGATGAGTTTTTGGGACTTTAAACAAGTGTTTTTGGGGTGTTTGAGGTGTTTACGGCCTAAGACAAGCTTTGGCCGTAAACTCCTTTTTAAGCTCCAATTCTTTGTGTTTTAGTGTCCAAAGTCTCCTAGGTTTATACCTCAATTAGTCCATAAGCTTAAAGGAAGGAAAAACAAGGTCTTTGGCATGATTTTGGGGGTTTACGGCCTAAGGGGCTTCTTAGGCCGTAAACTCCATTTTGTTCCTTGTTTTCTATGATTTTGGACTCTAAATGCAGTAAAGTATGTTTAGATTAAGATAGGGAATGAATCCTTACGTTTGGAAGTCGGAAATTCACGGATTTGGGGTCGATTTCGGGTCTAGAGAGAGAAAGTAGTGAGAGAGAGGTGAAAGTGTGGTAAAAGAGTTCAATTGTAGTGTTCAATCATTTTTATATGTCTCGGGTATTGCACCCGATACACGGCTACCCGATGCTAAAGTTTAACGGTGTTAAAACTTTTTACCCGGGTGAAGTGGTTGAAAAGTAATATAATTCTATTTAGTTAAACGGGGTTGACATTTACAAGTTTTAATTACTTATGATAATACCGGGACATATAATTAACTATATATTTGTTTATTGACGACCCAAACAATACCGAGAAATAACATATAGTGACGCATTCCGTTAGTGAAAATAGGGTTTATAATGGCAATATATTTGGGGTTGTCACATTATCCCCCCGTTAAGGGAATTTCGTCCCGAAATTTTAGAATTAGTACATATAAGAATTTTAGTACTACTACGCGAAGAGACGGGGGTATTTGAGTTTCATTTGGTGTTCGCGTTCCCAAGTGAATTTCGGTCCTCGTTTGGCGTTCCACCAAACTTTCACAATTGGGATACGGCTTTGCTTCGTTCGTTTTACTTCTCGATCCATAATCTCCGCGGGCTCTTCCACGAAGTTGAGGCTCTCATTGACCTCAATCTCGTCAAGAGGAATTACGAGTGTCTTGTCTGACAGGCATTTCTTCAAGTTAGAAACGTGAAAGGTAGGGTGTATGTTGCTTAGTTCGTGAGGTAGGTTGAGTTTATAAGCTACGGGGCCGATTCTGGCGAGAATCTCAAAAGGCCCTATGTACCTTGGGTTCAGTTTTCCACACTTTCCAAAGCGTATTGTGCCCTTCCAAGGTGAAACCTTCAACAGGACTCGGTCTCCTGCCTGGAATTCCAAGGGTTTTCTTCATTTGTCGGCGTAGCTTTTCTGTCGATCTCTCGCGGCTTTCAGTCGTTCACGTATCTGTACAATATTCTCGGTCGTTTCTCGAATGATCTCCGGACCAGTGAGAGAGCTATCAGGAACTCTTCCTTTAGCTAGCTGAGTGTCACCCACCTCAGCCCAGCACAGAGGGGATCTGCACTTATGGCCGTAGAGGGCTTCGAATGGGGCTGCCTTGATACTTGTATGATAACTGTTATTGTAAGAAAATTCCACGAGAGGTAAGTTTGTGTACCATGATTTGCCGAAGTCAATCACACAAGCACGCAGCATATCTTCTAAGGTTTCAATCGTCCTCTCACTCTGTCCGTCGGTCTGCGGATGGTAGGCTGTACTCATGTCCAGCCTCGTCCCTAGTGCTTCTTGCAACGATTGCCAGAACCTAGAGGTGAATCTATTATCTCTGTCTGAGATAATAGATATTGGGACGCCATGTAGTCGTACTATTTCTTTAAGGTATATTCTAGTGAGTTTCTCCATCTTGTCCGTTTCTTTAATGGGTAGGAAGTGTGCGGACTTGGTTAACCTGTCAACAATGACCCAAATGGTATCTAATCCACCCGCTGTCTTGGGAAGTTTGGTTATAAAGTCCATTATGATCCGCTCCCACTTCCATTCTGGTATCTCAGGTTATTGGAGAAGTCCCGATGGCTTTTGATATTCGACCTTGACCTTTGCGCAAGTAAGGCACTTACTCACAAAGGTGGCGATCTCTGCTTTCATGTTTGGCCACCAGTATAGCTTTTTGAGATCCAGATACACCCTTATCTGAACCCGGGTGGATGGAGTAGCGAGTGTTATGTGCTTCCCTCATAACCAAATCTCTAAAACCTCCATGGCGTGGAGTCCAGATTCGATCCATGAAGTAGTAGGCTCCGTCACCCTTAACCTCCAGATTTTTATCCATTCCGCGCAGAGATTCTCCCAACATGTTCTCGGGCTTTAAGGCTTCCAGTTGAGCCTCTTTGATCTGTGTGGAGAGATGCGAATGGATAGTCATCGTCAACGATTTGGTCCTTCGACCAGTATACTCCTTCCTGCTCAGTACATCTGCTACTACATTGGCTTTTCCCGGGTGGTATCTAATTTCACAGTCGTAATCCTTAAGTAGCTCAACCCATCGACGCTGCCTCATGTTGAGTTCTTTTTGGTTCATTATGTGTTGAAGGCTTTTATGATCAGTGTACACCACACTCTTCGTCCCATATAAGTAGTGTCTCCAGATTTTTAGTGCAAAGACAACCGCTCCTAACTCGAGGTCGTGAGTAGTGTAGTTTGCCTCATGGGTCTTTAGCTGTCTCGAGGCATATGCGATAACCTTACCCCGTTGCATCAAGACACAATCGAGCCCCTGATTGGATGCATCACAGTATACAACAAA